ATGTGGATGGCCTGGAAAGGGTTCAGAGGAGGGCCACTCATCTGGTTAAAGGCCTACAGAAAAAACCCTATGTGGACCGATTGGGAGACCTGAACCTCTTCAGCCTCCGCAAGGTGATCTTGTGGCCGCCTGCAAACTCATTGGGGGGGGCCAGTAAGAAATAGGGGATACAATGTTTACCAGGGTGCCTGTTGGGGTAACTAGAAATAATGGCCACAAACTGGAAAAGAGCAAATTCAGATTGGACATCAGGAAAAAATTCTTTACAGTGAGGGTTGTCAAAATATGGAATGAGCTTCCAACAGAGGTGGTGCTGTCCCCTTCCTTGGAGGTGTTTAAAAGAAGATTGGACAGACACCTGGCTGGGGTTGTCTGACACCAGTACTCATTCCTGCCCAGGGCATGGGGTTGGACTCAATGACCTAATAGGTCCCTTCCAACTCTAACACTTATGAAACTATGATGGCTGCCAGGTGCTGGCAGCTGGGTCTGGCTTCAACATGACTGCCAAGTGCTGGCAGTGATGTGGCTGGAGCTCCCTCTGGTGGCCACAGGAACACATGGCTGGGTTGAAGGGACTTAGGACTAACTTTAGCACCAAGTGCACTAACTTTAGTCCCAAGTCTCTGCATGTGTAGACACTTGTCAAAACTCAATGCTCATTAAATTTAGCTGCACTTATTTGCACATGTAGGCACACCCTGGGTGTTGCATTAAAATGTACTTTCTTTTGTTTTAAACCTGTCTCTTCTGGTATGGTAACTGCTCCATACCCCTGATCATTTTGGTTGCCTTTCTCTGTACTTTCTCCAACTCTACAAGTCTTCTAAAGATGCAGAGACCAGAAGTGCACACAGCACTTGAGATGTAGGTGCTGTTTATATAACAGCATGATGATTTTCTCAGTCTTGTTTTCAGTTTTCCTCTTGGTGGTGCCAAACATCTTTGGTCGCCACTGCACATGGAGCTGACATTTTTTGAGAACTATCTTGACTACCTGGAATAGTCTGGTATAATTTGAAAACCTGGAGATTTCACTGAGCCACCCCCATTTCCAGATCATTGATGAAAATGTTGAACCTATACTGATTGCTGGGCAACCCCACTTTTTACCTTCCTCCATCCTGAAAAGTGACTATTTAGCTCTACCCTTTCCTTCCTATCTTTTTACCAGCTCTCAATCCATGGAAGATTTGAATTTCAAACATCATCTTCATTCAGACTGATTTTTAAGAATGATGATTTAGTGAGAATGAGGTCAGATGAAACATTTATTAGACAGACCTCATCACCAGGATTTCAGAGAATTCTAAAACCCCTTAGCACCTCACAGCCAATTTGAAGTCTCTTCCAAAATGCAAAAAACAGAATCCTGCTAAATCTGGCTTGAGCACTGGTTGTGGCACAGGTTCTCTATTTCTGAACTGTTTCTACACAGAGTTTGTCACTGCTTCTCTAATCCACACAAAAAGAAATTAGCAGCCCTATGCATGTACAATATACATCTTGCATATTAAAGTCAAAGCATTTTCCTGTGGAAATCTATAGATTCTTATTTTCATTGCTTTTTTTTTTTTTTTTAATATGTATTTCCCCCCTCAACCTAAATTTTCTGTGCTACCTCAAGAAAACTTTTCCTTTTACATGCATGTGGAGCTGAGGTGGCCTGCATTTTTATTAACTGAACTGACCTTGGAAACAAAAATCCACACTGAAAGGATTGGGGAATCCTTTTACTCAGGCCACTATTCTACAATCAGTTTCCAAAAATTGAGAAAATAGGAACTTTTGTTCTACTAAGGGCCCTATATAAAACCAGATTTTTTTCAGTCCATCTGTTTTCTATTTCTTTTTCTGTAATCTATTTGCTGTAATTACAAATCTTCTGCACTCTCACAGGGAAGTACAGTATAAAATGACAAACAAAACAAACACCCCTTTAAAATTCATGTTTCCTTAAGCAGGATGTCTGGGTTAGGAATCTGTCAAGATACTACAAATAGTTGAGAGGTTTTTCAGGACTTTAAAGTGAATGGCTATCCTCTTGAGAGGCATGTTGTTAGCTTGAGGTAAGGAGTGAGACTCTCAGTCTTCAAAAGTGAGGGCTTTTCCTCACTGGAATAAAGCAGAAGAGAATGCATATGCACATAAGAAACTTACTTTATTTATTTGAAGCTTTTTTCTTAAAAGAGGTTTTTGAAGTAACTTCTGAATCCACTAATCATCTTTCACTAAATCCTGATTGTTAAACATAGCGTTACTACTTTCACAGTATTTTGTTGGGACAGAACTTATTCCAATGCCACAAGTCCAAATCTATGACTCCAAAGCCAAATGAAAATGGTCTACCATAAAGCAAACATTTTGATCTAGAAGGAGGCCTAAACTGCCATTCAAGATATATAAATCAATAACTCCATTTTATTTTTAGAGACTTCATATTCTCAAGGAACGGGATATTTAGCTGAAAAGGTTTGGACGCATTAGTAGTTTAAATGCAACTATCTTTCAATAATTGGAAACAAAGTTTAAAGAGACAAGGTAGAGGTAATACAATTCATGCTTTAATTCATATTATCTAAAAAGTCTCCCCTTGAAATGAAAGCTCCACATTTAATACTAGGTAAGTTTGAACAAATCCCCACTACTGAGTTGAGAGAATGCCTTTGGGTATGCTTTATTCTCAGTATTCATCATGGAAGGGATACTCCGGGTGGTCCTTCCACCTGTAGTGAGATTTCAGATAAAAGAAGAAAAAGAGAAAAGATACAAGGTGAAACAAAATATTAACATAATTTGCTGCAGCTACATAATGACTTGCACAGATCTGGTTGCAGTTACCTGGGCACTAAAGGAGTATGTAGTGTTACTAGGAGCAAACAAATAGGCTTAAGAAAAAAGGATGGTTAATGTACTAATGGAGTCCTTAAAATTTGAAGCTGACAAATGGGAAGTTATCACATGCTCTTCACTGACTTGTATAAAATGATTTGCAGGACAGCATGTATGTGTCTGCTTCGTTCACTGTGGGCCAGTATTCATTCCAAAGAATGCAACATTGGCACTAACAGTTTGGTGGGCAAGCTGGAGACACGGAAAAAGTGAACTAACCTTTTTTGCCACTACAGCTGGTCCCTCTAAATTAGGGGAGGGCAAGCTACCCAGAAGATTGCCTTACTTGTCTTGTGGTTGGCAGTTTGTTGTTGTACTTGTGTTAAGAGAGCCTAATTCTATGAATTTTGCAGAAAATAGGGACAAATCTGTATTATTCCAGTTTTATGCAGAAAATATTCTTTCAGTGCTTGGTTGATAAATGGTTGTAATGCCCCTCAGCTGGCATCTAAATACTGGTCAAACTTGGGGAAGAGTCAAAAACAACAGTTCTTTTAAAAAAAAATCTGCATTTCTTCAGCTTATGATGTTTGAACTGGCATGGGCAGGCCTGGTTTGGCTTTGTCTTTTTTTCCACGGGGTTTCTGCATCCAAAGCAGACCTGGCTGTCTTAATTAAATCGCAGTGACTCAGCCTGGGTGTGGAAGCCCTGCTTAATTAATCGTGAGACAAATGGAGTGGTTGCAAGAAAACTTTGAAGTGACCCAGTTAAGATGAAGGGGGATTGCAATTAGTTTTAAGTCTATTTTGACTGTCAAGGCCACTACAAACAGTGTATATCTAGGAAAGTTAAACAGGTCCAGGATCTTTATAAAAAAACCCAACAACAGCAGAGTCAACTGTAGGTAAGCACAAGTATCTTCTAGGTTTCCCTTTTTAGTCTCAGAAAATCTGGAGGACAGACTACACTGCCTGTCTTCCTGCTGGCTATGTAAAAAAAAATTTTTTTTCTCAGAACAAAGTGGATAATGACCCACAAGTGCTGACCTAACCAACAATTCCTAAAAGCATGAAGTTTAGGCAGCTGCCAAATTATGAGGGTGCTCTGGGGTCATGTGATGGCTCTGCAGCAAAATTGACAGCACAGCACAACATCTGACACTTAATGCAGTCAGGAAGCCTGGTCTATAGCATAGAATGGGAAGAGAATGGGAGCTTGAGATATCTCAGGCAGACCTGCATTCATGTCAAAATGACCCTAAAAAACTTCAATTTTCCAGCAGAAAAACAAAGGCTTTTTTAAGAAGGTGAAAATCCCTTTGAATAGGGTTTAGATTTGCTGCCAAATACCTGCAAAGTTCTAATTAAAGGTAAGTTAGCACAGTATCTTATTACTATGGGTTTACTTATGACAACAGAATGAAGATGCTTGTACAAAACGATCTCAAAAAGGCCTGTCTTTTCAATTTTTGTTTGACATTTTCACACGGAAACTGTAGTACTGGATGAGATCAGGACTAGTCCAATATGTAGGCTGAAATGGGACTGGCCTTCAGATGCTTCAGAAAGGTGTAAGAACGATCTTACCAGGTGAACATGAGGTAAATCCACCCTTTCTATGCTAGGCTCATTTTGTTCCAATTATTCAACCTTGAAGTTTAGCCTCTTTCCCCCCAAATCTGGTAATTTTATGAATAATATTATGGTGGTCATAAGTATTCAGTTTTTCTTGAATGTTCCAAAGGGTTCAATTTATTTCTGCATTGTGAAATAAATATTAATACATGCAGAGAAACACATACTTGCTTCTGTCAGTTTTGATTTTCCCAGATGTTAACTGCATTGCATATTTCATGGGCATCCCTAACTTTACTGATCGAAAATAGTTCAGCATTTGAGCCAAGATTTACTTTTCATGATAATTCTCGCTATACGCTTGAACAATGTCTACAACCTAAGATTTTTATCTAATAGCAGTTGCAAACAATTTCTAATAGTGGTTACATTTAAGAATTTCCAGGACAAATTGTGGAGAGAGAACAGTTCATTAGAAATGTCCTGCAAGTCAACTGCGTGGCTATCCCCAGATTTAGTGACTTGTATCTCAATGAGTAAAGAACACTGCTGAGATTTTAGTGCAAGGTGAACTGCACAAGGGGCACTTTTAATCTACCTCATCTTTCCCTTCACATTTTAGAGAGAGGCAGTCCTCTGCGTTTATCTGAAGCTGGACAGCGCAGTGGGGCACCTTTATAGACTATCTTACTCCTAGAGGTGTGAGCTATAACTTATGAAATGGCAAAGGGAAGTGCAGCCTCTGAAAGCTCATACCTCCTTGAATGAGGCAAAATGTCACACTGCCCTACCTTTTATGACATCTTGGTAATAGCAATGTTTATGTAAGTGGTCAGTTTTATTTTTGTGACTTAAGCTTGTTCAACATTGTGAAGGTTCTATAGATCTTGCAGTCCTAAAGTCTGTATTGCTCTTTGTCACATCATTCTTATCAAGAGACAAAGAGCTAATCCAAGAAGATAATAAAAAGGATGGAGGGATAAAAAAATAGAACTAGAGTAATTGCAGAATCTCCATTTCTGGAAGTTTTCACAAGCAGGCTAGACAGACACTTGTTTAGTCCATATGAAAGGGCCTGTCTTGAGCAGGAGGTTGGACTACATGATCTCATGAGGTCCCTTCCAGCCCTACTTTCCTATGAATTGGGTCTGTCTGAAACTTGACAGTTACAGTAATACTACTTTGGGTGCTAAGTTTCAGACCACAGGCATGGTCAGCACTTGGAGGGGAGCAAGAGGACATGGTTTTAGAGGTTTAGCAAGCTACATTCTTTCTGCTCTGTCTCATAGGAAGGTATGACTCAGGGCTGGACAGCACGAAAAGTAATCAATTTCACAGGAGGTTCAGCAACCAAATTTCTTACCCCTTACTGTAATTGACAAAGGCTAGAGTTAGCAAATATTCATGTTCCAGCCTGATGCTAGTCTGAGTGATTTATACATATTCATTCCAAGTTTCAAGCAGTAATTCCTAATTCCTTTTTGTCCTAACCTGTTGTTTACAGTGGCTTAACTGCATACAGTAACATTAGTTTTCCAATTCAGAGGTGACAACACATTGCATCTATGACTGAAGTGCAAAGTATTTTGGGATGCTTTAAGTAAAAACCACCATTCAAATGGAAAAATGATATCACCATGGAAAGATTATTAATTTGAGATTTGAGTTCTGACACCCATTCCTGTGATAATTTCTGAGTGGCTCCCTTCCCAAGTAAACTGTCCTGTGCTCTTTACCCAACTGGAACAATCACCCGGGTGTAAGCCTGCTGCGCCCCCATGAGCCCAGGGACCCCAGCTGCGACCCCAGGACCCCTGACAAGCCCCGGCCTGCTGGCAGCTAAGCAGGGTCCTGTGGAGGGAGGGATCTAGCCAGCTGGGAGCGGGCTAAGTGGACCGAGGAGGGTCATGCCGCCTCCCCACCCCGGGCTCTTACCTCGCCCAGCCCCCCAGGGAGCTGCGTGACCAGAGTCTCGTGAACAGGCTGCGGAAAGAGGCATGCTCCTGAGCGCGGCACATGAGTTAGCACAGGAGGGCAAGTGGGAGGGCCTGAGGCCCTGGCTGTGCGCCCCCCAGAGTAAGCAGTCCCAGCCACAACCAGCCTACTAGCGGCATGACGTGTATGGACATGCGCCGCACCCTGAGGGTCCCCTCGGGCTCTGCAGCCCCCTACTCTGGCACCTTAGAGACGGCCACCCAGACGGAGCCCATGGTTCCAGGCTCCATGCAGACTGAGCCTTTGGCTCTTGGCTGCAGGGGCTGCCCATGCCTTTTTCAGGTTCTGGGGCCCAGGAGCATGGCCACCTCCCCTTGTGGGGTCTTCTCCCTACTGGGGTCTCTGGTGCACCAGCTGGAGGAGCTCCAGGTCACAGTCCAGAGACTGCGTGTCATCAGGGACTGTAAGCAGGAGATGGACTCCTACTGCCAGGCCCTTCTCCCCCGGGAGGCGGAGGGTAGACCATGGTCTTCCTCCAGGACAAGGGAGGACCTGGGGACCACCCATTCTGTCCAGCCATGGGGTTGGACCAAGGTAGTCAAGGGCCCCAGGGCCTGCTGTACCAAGGTCCCTGCACTGGAGCTTTGCAACAAGTATGAGCCTCTTGCAGCCCCAGCTGAGCCTGCTGAGTTGCCAGCTCCCACAGGCAACACAGAGGACACTGTAGCTACCATCCCCACTCTCCCCAAGACCAAATGCAAAGTGTTTGTTGTGGGAGACTGCATCCTGAGAGGGCAATCTGCCACCCCGACCCCTTAGCCCCGGAAGTTTGCTGCTTCCCGGGGGCCCGCATCCGTGACATTGCGGACAAGACCCCTAAACTCCTCCAGCCCACAAACCACTATCCCATGCTCCTCATCCATGTGGGCACCAATGCCATAGCTTGGAGTGCTCCTAGCTGGGTCATGAGGCGCTTCAGGGATTTGGGTGTGGGGCTAAAGGGTCGGGAGGCACAGGTGGTATTTTCTTCGATCCTCCCAGTCTCGGGATATGGGCTGAGGAGGGAGAGCAGGATCCACATAGACAGACAAAGACTGCAGCGCTGGTGTCATTGGGAAGGCTTTGGCTTCCACGACCACAGCCTGCTTTTTGGAGAGAGAGGCAGTGGCTGTTGGGAAGGGATGGCCTCCACCTCTCTCCACTGGGGAGGAGGCTCTTCTCAGCTAGACTGGCTGACCTGCTCCACCAGGCTTTAAACTAAGCCTGCCGGGGGCTGGGGGGACTACTGCTGCTGCTGGCCCACCAAGTGGCCCTTGCAAAGCCAGCAGGCCAAGGCACATAAGGGATCCCAGCCCTGGAACAAAATGTAAGCAAGGCAAGAGCC